CCCTCTTCCTACCCGAATACAACGTACAGGTCATTATAGCTGTATTTAGACGGAAAGATACCCCAGATACAGCTATAATGACCGTACGTTGTATTCGGGAGAAAGAAGGTTAGCTCCAATCAATACCTGCTCTTTGAGCCAAGTGGTACACATTACTGACTGCATTACCTTCTTTCCCTGAACACAACACAACACCCAGTCATGATGAATGTACACAAGCCAAGTTCCTGGCTAGATGCAGTTGCATCAGTCTATTTTCTGAGTAAAAGGAAAGCGTAAAAAGCAACAACTCGCTCGCTTTGACTCTTTCCATGCCTACAACAAGAGCCAATGTTGTATTTATTACATCTGATCTCACTAGAAAAAGTTCCAAACACAAAAAAACGAGGAATGGTCCCAATTTGGGGGCCTTTTCGATGACTAGCCAACAGAAGCAGGGCATCACCAGCCAATAGTATTTAACAAAAAAAAACAAAACAAAAAAAAAAGATGTCCACAGGTATAACGCACCTCATCGTTGCCGACCTCAGTCCTCCTGAATCCCCCTACCTTGGACAACTGTAGGAAAAGAGAGGCAGCAGAGAAGAAGGATGCGAGAGAGAGGAGGAGGAGGAAGAAGAGGAGGAGGAGGAGGAGGAGGTGGTTAAGGACGACGACAAGTAGAAAGGGGAGAACGGAGTTGGGAGGAGGAGGAGGAGGGTGTAGGAGGAGGGGGAGGACGAGGAGGGGACAAAGAGGACGAGGTCAGGGAGAATGAGGAAAAGATGACGAAGATGAAAAGAACAGCAGAAGGAGAAGGAGGAGGTAAAGAAGAAGAAGGAGAAGAGGAGGAGGAGGAGGAGGAGGAGGAGGAGGAGGAGGGAACAAAGGCAAGAGAACAGAGAAGAGAGGATAAGGAGGAAGCAAGCACAAGAAAAAGTGCATGTGAAAGAGTGAAGCATGAGTCTCTGAGCTTCTCCAAATTCAGCATTTGGAAGTTCATGTGAAAGAGAGTGTCGGTGCGCTTCAAACAAATGTCAAGAAGGAAACAAACCCAAAAATTTTCAAAAAGTCTTTCTGCTGTTTGCGTAATTGCTCTTCCTCAAAATCGACGGTGCTTTTGAGCTGCCACAAATCCCATCCTGTTTTTACGACACGATACAACGGGTTCAACAGTATGTATGCTTTTATTTAAAAATAAGGAACAGTAACAGTTCAAACACACCAGTGATGTGTTACCATGGATCTGTATCTGGACTGGCAGTGAGACCAGAGAAGCAGACTTGCAAAGAGATAATATGCAGCCCGCCAGAGAATGTGACTGCATCTGATGCATCGGGGGTTAGCCCTCTGCAAACAACAACAGTACTGTCGTCACGAGGCCATATACACACACACAAGAGAGAGTGAGAGAGAGAGAGAGAGAGAAGAAGGGGGGGCGGACGAGAGAGAGAGAGAGAGGGGGGGGAAGAGAGAGAGAGAGAGAGGGTTAGCCCTCTGCACACTACAACAGTGCTGTCAGCATGAGGCCACATACGCACACCCGCACGCAAGAGAGAGAGAGAGAGAGAGGGCGTGCATGCTCGGGAATGGGATGTGAAAGTCAGACTTCAGCGAAGGAGGCCTGCGCACAGACTTCCGCTCACAGACACACAGAGAGAGAGAGAGAGGGAGAGAGAATGAATCTTTCGCTAGAACATGGGAAGATACACCACCATTTTTTTTACTACAAAACACAAAATATGGCGGTGAATCTCCCATGTTCTAGCGGAAGATTCATTCTCATTTTGCATGCCATCCCCACCTGTTGGGATCGGGGACAGGTGAACCGCATCCACAATGAGAATGAATCTTCCTCTAGAACATGGGAAGATACACCGCCAGATTTGTCTTCATATTGGGATCGGGATGGGGGATAGGTGTACCGCATGCAAAATGAGATAAAAATCTTCCGCCAGAACAATGGGAAGATACACCGCCATATTTTTTCTCTACGAACGACAAAAGAAATGGTGGTGTAGCTTCCCGTGTTCTAGCGGCAGATTCATTTTCATTTTGCATGACGTCCACCTGTTGGGATCCGGGGCAGGTGAACAGCATGCAAAATGAGAATGAATCTTCCTCTAGAACATGGGAAGATAAACCGCCATTTTTTTAGTCTTTTGTGCATGTGTTGAGTAGTGGAGAGAGGCCCATGGGTCTCTCTCTCTCTCTCTCTCTCTCTCTCTCTCTCTCTCTCTCTCTCTCTCTCTCTCTCTCTCTCTCTCTCTCTCTCTCTCTCTCTC